AAATATAAGAATAAAAATGGTCTCAGCGGTGTGTGCACTGTAATATTTGTATTTCCCCGCTTTTTGTATTTAGATATATATGTATTATATGTTTGTATTATTTGTATTCAAAATAAAAAAACATATTAATAAAAAAAACCCAAGAAGGCCTCTCTCTGAAGGTACATGCCCATCCGACTAGATAGAGCTAGATAGAGCTAGATAGAATGAGTGCCTCAAGGTCCTTTCGCTTAGATGTTGTCATCCAGTGAGACCTAGTTAGCATTCCTTTCCCAAAGCCGTCCCTGTCAAGTGATAGAGGATTTTCTATGACACCCAGCACCCTCCACCCTGAGTGATAAGGGCACCGCAAGTAGTCGGTTCTTCCACCAATACATGGGGTAAGTTGAGACTAGAGTTCAGAAGGTGTGGAGGGAGAATGGTACAATACATTGTATGGTTTGTGGTTACTATCTTTTTGTTGGCTTTTATATTTTATTGTTATGCACTGACCTGCCCAGGGATGTTGCGTGTAAGATGGGTATCCACATCAGTCTCTTAAATAAAAAGAAGAGGTCACTACTGTGTGATCTGCTGTCCAACAACAAAATCAAGCTGACTTCCGGTTGCGTTTCCTTTGAGGATGGACTGAAGACCGCGATCATGTGTGGCTTCGATCCATGTTGTACTTGTTGGAGAGCTCCAAACGAGGCTAGAACCACCCTGGAGGGGTGGGGAAGAAGGGGGAGACCACCTGTCAGGTCGAGGGGAGCCACATCTCCCCTCCTTGTCTAGGTAAATTCCCCCCAAAGACAGGCTGCAACGGTGGTTAAATATGGCCACCCTAAAGAAGGAGAGCTACCTGGGACAAAGATTGTGCAGGAGTGATGAAGAAGCAGACAATGTGGAGACCAGGCAAATTAAGCGCAACATCTGAATATAAGGTTTAAAAATTTAAAAAGACTTAAAAAAAAAGATTAGAACAGCGGCGACCAGAAGAAAAAAATAGGAGACAAGTGAAAGTGCTTTGAACAGTAAAAGAAGTAAATCGAAAGAGGGAAACATCTGTGTAAACTGGATTATACTAAATTATATAATTGGCACTAAACAGGCACACTTAAAAGCTGTTGAAGGTGACAAAAGGAAAAAATATACAATAATTGGATTTACTGGACTTTTTTAATTTAAAAGCTTTAAAAGGGAAAGGAAAGTGGAAAGAAAAGGTGGAACTTGGATATAACAGAGAGCGCCACCTAATGGTAAAGGAAAACTTTCAATAACTTTTTTTAAAAAAAGTATTTGGTTCCATAAAGACAGAATCTGAAGTAAGATTTTTGAAACAATAAGACAAAAACCCTGAAAAGTGAATTTTATTATATGAAGGAAGAAGAAAGAAGTTTGAACTGAGAATACTAGGTGACTTTGAGGAAAATTTAAAACTCAAGCGAAGGAATTTAACAACAAAATATATGAACAGTTGACTATTTTGACCCTGGAAACCTGGAATAGGACTTAATAGAAGTGGATGGTTAGAAGCCGGATTAAATTAACTACCGGATAACTGGACTGGATTTAATTATTGAAGAAAGAGTTAAAAGAAAAATTAAAAGAGGTGCACACAAATGGCAGAATACTTTTTGGAGTTAAAATCAGACTTAAGAAGTATAAGGGAAATTATATGGGAAAAAATGGAATTCTGCAGTATTGGTTTGCAAATGCTAGAAATGGCGTCGTTGGAGAACAAAGACTATCAAGGAGAACCAGAAGGGAAGGAATTGATTAAAGAAGAGGCCAGCTTAAATAAACAAATGGCACAATGAACATTGAAATGGGGGGGGGGGACATGGAAATTAAAAATTGGAGGTTTGAGGGGACAATTAAAGAGGTAAGGGTTAGGAAAGTCAAATGAAGAAAAAAGAAACAGCAGAAAGGGGAAATACAGGAGAAAGTTCAAAAGAGGGAGGGGGATAAAAATGGAGTCAGAAATGGAGGGGAAAATAAAAAAATAAAAAAGTAAAGGAAAAGAGGAATAAGGGAAAGGACCAGAAAAGAAGGGGATATAGAAAGCCAAAAAGAAAAAGAAAAGAAGACATATGGCTAAAAGACCTAGAGATAATGGGTGAATTGAGGAAAAAAAGGGGGGGATTCTACAAGGTAATAAATAAAGAGGTATAAGAATATAGATTGTAAAAAATGGAATGATTGGAACTGATGTTTTTTTTTTATTTTAATCTTTTTATTTGATTACTTTCCAAGAATTATTGCTAATATAATAAGAATGTAAATTACATTAAATGAAAAGAAAAATATAGTTAAAATGAACCATTGTACTAAAAAGATAAATATCAGTTCCTTTACTCAGCTGGAAAGATTAATGTATTAGAAAAAATAAATGTTTTAGAATAAAGAAAAGAATACCATGTGGACTCCAACCTAAAATGTGTATTTAGTTGATAATTAAAAATGACTATATTATGGTAACTTTTAGCCTGAGATAAAGGGGAGTAAATTGAGTGATGTATAAGATAAAAAGGTGGTGCACTCAAATGGGTAATTAAGGGGAAAATCCTTTGGAATTATTAAGATGGAATTGAATAATGAAATAAGAATTGTGATGAAATGGCAAACATGACAGATAAAAGCATAAGAATATAGTGAATATAGAATAAGAAATAAAGAATTTTAAGATATTATATAAAGAAGATAAGGGTATGATTAAAGAAAACTAGAACAAGTCATATGAAATAAAATTGGATAAAATAAAAGTCAAAAATATAAGAATATTTTTGAAAATTTATAGAAAATGAAATATGCAATAAGAAACTGAATATGTGAGATAAGTATGTAATTATGATCATATTTGTATGGAAATGTAAAAACCTGGAATCACACTGTTCACTAAAAGAGATGTAAAAGATTAAAAATAAAAAACTTTTTGAAAAAAAACAAAATAAACAAAATCAAGCTGATTCCAATAAATGTGGAATTTGCATTCTGTCTGTGTCAGCTGACTGGGAAGGGAAAGGGGAATAAATTTCTTTGATTGTAACAGTTTGAGGTGAACAGAAGATGATGAAGGCAGTTGGAAACTCCTGGGACCTCACTGCATTCAGACAGCCCTTCCTTACCTGTGGTGAAACCTGAGTTAGATCCTCCAGGGAAATTCTCCCCACAATGTGGTTGTTGGCAGGGACTGTGCTTATCAAATAAGGCAAAATGTAATTTTAGCCTACAACAGCAGCATTGATTCCAAACCATGCTTTCAAATTCTTAGAATTTAAAGAATTGAATATAATTCAGAGTTAAAAAAATTGATGAAATAGAGGGAGACACAATAATACTTTTCAAATACTGAAGGAAAAATATATCTAAAAAATCAAGGCCTATTGTTTCAGAGTATAAGACATGGCATGATGACATAAATATTAGGAATAAAAAGTCTTAATGGTAAGAGAATCAACCATCAACAACAACCAGGAAGCAGAGACAAAGGCAGTTGCTGGGAAGAATGAATTAAAATAATCTAAAGATCCAGAAAAGGAGAAGCAGACTCAAGAGTGGAGAAGCTTTGAGACTTCAAGAAAGCTGTGGGATCAGAAATTAACTTTTAGGAAAAAAAAATGCTGCAGTAAATCATAATCCAGAGAATGGCAACAGAATGTAACAAGGTCATCTGCCAGGGAGAACTCCTTTCACTAAGATCACTGGTGGCTAGACATGATACACTTGAGCAGCTGTAGTCAAGCTGACCACAATTGGCTGTCAACTGCCAATCAATGGATCCTTAAATTCAAGTGGGAATATTGTTGTGGAGGAATAGTTGCTGTTTCAACATTACAACCCCTAAATCTTTGGACCACAAGACTTTTCCTCAGGAAGGAATGCAAGACTGGACAAAGTTTTGACACTGTGAGAACCCTTCCCTCTGAAAAGGTTGATCATGCAAATTTTATATTTGAGTTTAGGGGCACATATACACACCTTTCCACAGAAGTGCTAAAAAAAACCCTTCATTATTTACTCTCACAGCTTCTGAATTATTCCGAACGTATCTGGCTATAAGAAGCTGATGACTGTGAAGGCAAAGATGTCTGGCTCCCAGGTGAGGCAGGCAGTGCTAGAAAGGGAAAACATAAGTAGCAGACAATGCCGTCAATGGCTCTGCACACTGAAACTGTAAAACCTGCCCAACTTGATAATAACGGTCTCATGTTGAGACAGGTGCTCTGCCAATGGATGTGCAAAAATCTAACTCATCTCCAAAGGGAAAAACCGCAGATTTGTTTAGGAGACCCAAAAGGCATTTTATGGGGAGGAAAGAAAAAAACCGCTCAGGAATGACGCCCTTTTCTGTCTAATGAAGGCAATAGTTTGAACGCTGCCACAGCATGAAGGACAAGCGCAACGGATAACCGAAAATTCTAGGCGTCTGTGTGTCCTAAGGCCACGCAAACTGAGCCTAGGTAGGACTAGGGCTTGGAAGTGGAGGAGTTTGCCGATGAGAGTTCGTCGCTTCCTAGCAACTCGATATCGTGCAAGGAAGGCGAACCCTCCCAAGAGCACCGATTCAACCGCTCTGGCAGTTTGTCGCACAAGCGCGAGACCCTCCCGCTTTCCTCGCGCAGCCTCTTAGAGCAGGGGGTCTTCAAACTTGACTGCTTTAAGACTTATGGACTTCAACTCCCAGAATTCCTCCTCCAGTCATGTTAGCTCAGGAATTCTGGGAGTTGAAGTCCACAAATCTTAACCTTGCCAAGTTTGAAGACCTTTGCCTTACAGGGAGCGAGGAGGTTCTTCAACGGCGCATGCGTCGTTATTAGCCCCGCCTCCGGAGTGTAGGATGCGTGTCGGTAAAGTTCGACAAGTGGGAGGCATTTCCCCGCCCCTTTTGCTTTCGGATGGGAGGAGAAGAGGCAGCGGGAGTCCGGGAACCAATCAGATGCGACGTACTGGCTTCCTGAGGCGGGACGACAATGAGAGCTTTTATTTTCTCCGTAGAAGCCTTATTGTTCCTCTCTGCCAGCAGTTGGTCGGTGTTTCGCGGGGAAGCGATGCGTTGATTCGCGAGGGGGAAAGGCCCGTCTTCGCCGCCGTAGCTGGCCCAGGCAGGCCTCGGCAATGTCCGGAAGCAGGCCATCGCCGCAGCACCCTCCGGCCGGGCCGGGTGCTGCGGGCCCTCCGGCCTCCTCCTCGACCTCCTCGGTCACCACCTCGGCCTGCTTGGGCACCGCGATGGCGACGGGCACCGCGATGGCGACGGGCTCCTCAGCGGTCCCCTCGCGACCCGTGTTGGTGGCGGCCGCCGTGTCCGGATCCTCCTGCGGCGGGGGTCTTTCTCGCCTGGCGGGGACCCGAGTCGGGAGCGGCAATGGAGCAGCCTGCAGCGGCACCAGAAAGAGGCCGCTTCTGACTCCGCTTTGCAACGGCCTTCTGAATTCCTACGAGGACAAAAGCAACGATTTCGTCTGGTGAGTGGCGCGGGACGGGTGGGGAAGGTGTGTTTGGGGGCAGGGCTGCGGGTGGTGGTGGTGGGGTAATGCCACCCTACCTTATGTGCCTTATAGCTCAGGGCCGGTGCTAGCATGGCTAGGAGGAGCGACGGTTCATCTAAGGGCTTGGCAACGGTGACTGCATCAAAGCATTGGGCAGGGAAGAGAGAAGGGAATGGCCACTCGGCATAACTCATGCCTGATGTCAGGTTTAAGCTGTGGATTTGGTACCTTGTGATTTTCTCTCACACACCTATGATTTCAAAATAAGTTCTGTGGAGCTAAGGGGGGGACTTACTCTACTGGAGTCATTCTGCAGGGTCCTCATCAGAAGAGGAGATGATGAAGTTTCAGCTGCCCTGCATTTGCCTAAAATCAGATTACTACAAATCAGCCAGGATTGAAATATCCGTTTTGACAGCAGGAGTTCTGTTTTGATTACTGAGTGACGGTGTGTTTGACCATTTCAATTTTCCATTCCCTTTTCTGAAATCGGCATAGAAGCATGTTGTGGGTTCATAGCGTTTCACCAATTAATCCAGTGTGTTTACCTTGGAAGCACTATTCCAGCAGAACCAGTCAATAGGACTTCTTTAACTACCCCAGACAAAAGAGACCGTAATCCACATTTATTACGGAAGATGCCTCTTATAAGGGATGTGCCTCAAGCTTCTGTCTTTTCTTCTAAAACAGTATCTGTAAGTTGGGCAATATGAATTTGATACATTTTTTTAAAGAAGTCTCTTAATTCATAGAATAGAGATTTTAATTTAGGTCCCTAAGTGCCTGATCAGCAAACATGCTTACTGCTTTCTGGGGATTATTCGGTTTCTCTTCAACATGCATAATTCTGTGTATATTATGTAGTGAGCTTTTTTTTTTTTTTTTTTTTTTGCCCATTTTCTTCCTTGAATAGATTCTCCACCTAGGTCTAAACAACTGTGGCCCTTTCTGGATCTATTTCAACATTGTATTTGGGAAATTGTGTAACCAACGCAGTCAACAATATTAATGTTGAATCATGGAATTAGAATATGTTACAAAATTTATAGGTTTATTTTGCAATGATTTACAGGAGAAAACATTTACATAGCTGTACTGTTGTCTGCATCAAGTCATCTATCACAAACCTAATATCTTTTTTTCTGATTAGCCATCACCAGATCAGACACTATCAATTGTAGAAGATTTAGGATATTTTGCTCTAGTATGAAAGTCTTTATCCTTACTTTCATATTAGTTCCTATTCCTCTAATTTGGATATACCAGGGTTATCAAACTCATGTCACGGCAGTGTCACATGACGTATCAGGACTTTTCCCCCTATGCTAAACCAGGCGTGGGTGTGGCCAGCGTGGGCTGCGAGTTTGACAGCCCTGGGATGTACTATTAATCAGTTGACCGGCTTGCTTCCAGAAGTGGCGATGGTCCATCACTGGAGGTTTTTAAGAAGAGTCATTTGTATAAGAGATTTGTATAATGGTATAAGAGAGAAGTGGCGAACCTATGGCACGTGTGCCAGAGGTGGCACTCAGAGCCTTCTCTGTGGGCATGTGTGCTGTCGCCCCAGCCTAGTTCCATTGCATTTCTCCGTTGAGTTTTTCGCCTTAGTGTGGGAGTGAAGCACCCCTGCACCTGCCTTTGCGCAAAACAGCATTCCGCCTTCATTGCGGTACATTTGCTGTTTCTGCCTTCATGGCCTGCCCGCTGCTCTGGCAGCACCTTGTGCAGCACAGTGAAATTTAGTGCGCTTCACAATGGGGGAGATTGGGGTCCCTTCCTCCTGGAGCCTATTATGACGCGGAGCTACAATGAGAGCCTGCATAGTTGGCTCGTCCTCGCCTCCTGGATGTCAGTCACTTTTCCTGCAGAGCTGCCAGTATTGTGATTCTCTGCCTCCCCACTGGCCAGCTGGTCTTTGGTTCTCTGGCCACTAGCTGCTCCTGGGCTCATTGGCCTCGGGACATCAGATTCCCAGCACAAGTTCAGGGTTCCCCCCCCCCCCCACACACACACACTCCGGGGAGAAAAGAGAGATGGGGGAGAGATAAGGAAGGAGGGAAAGAGAGAAAGAGGGAAGGAAGGGAGAAAGAAATTGGGGAGAGGGGAGAAAGAGAAAGGAAAGAAGGAGGGAAAGAGAAAGGGAGGGAGAGAGGGAGGAAAAGAGAACCGGAGAGAGGGGAGAAAGAAAGAGGGAGAGAAAGAGAGGGGAGGGAAAGAGAAATAATATTACAAAAGTTTTTCTTTTTTTATTGTTGCTAAACGTAATATTTCAAAAGCAGAAAAACGAAGAGGCATAAAAGTGCATTTATCACATTTTTCTTAGAACAATTAACTGATCTCTGCCTTGTTTATCATTATTTTAGGTAGTAAAACCTCAGTATTCAGGTTAAATTGCTGTGTTGGTACTTTGTGATAAATAAGTGGGTTTTAGGTTGCAGTTTGGGCACTCGCTCACTGATATAAGATCTCCTGCTTGAGTAGGGGACTGGGCTAGAAGACCCTTCCAACTCTGTTATTCTGTATTCTGGAACCCTTTGCTTATAATAATTTTTGTCATCCAAATTATTGGCTGCCTTATTTCTTGCCTGTAATATGTTAAGAAGCACTAGTTTGTGAGTTTTAAAGATCCTATTTGTCACATATGATTTACTGTTCTTCAGACTATCAGAAAGAACCTGGCAGCACGTTTTTCAACTAACATAGTTTGTAAAGGTATAAGCTTTAGAAACTGTAATTTCAGGCTATCATGGCTGTCATTCTCCAGTGATATTCAGACAGTATCTAAACATAAAGGAATCTCTGCACTTCTGAGAGGGTGAATTTTGCTCAGGGATCTTTGGTAAGTGAATCCTTCAGAGTCTAGAAAGAGGTGACGCCTTCATATCTAGAAAGAAGACGATCCCCACTGTCACATGCTTGCTGATTTTAGCAAAGAACTTTAAACCAAATGTAACTTGTTTTGCAGAAAAAAGTTTATTCTTTAAGAAGACTTGTTATTTATGTGTTCAGCGTGTTTAGCTACTTTACATTTAGTAATGTTTTCTACAAACTTACCTAGAAGAGATGTAAAAGCAACCAATTATTTATTTTTAACTTCTTTCTTCAAATCCTTCCTTAAAGTTAAAAGTTCTTAGGTAAAGATGTCAATCTTAAGGAAAGGTTTTCTGGTTTTGATTAATGATTTCTTTCTACTTCTTTAAGGTTATATTAATGTCTCAATACATTTAAATAAATTAAGTCATTATTTAAGATATAACTGCTGTTCTCATTTTTTTCAGATTAAATTTCATTTTAAACTAGATAACATGGTGATTTAGTACCACTGGAAATGTATATTGTAGCTTCATGATGTTTTGTCATGCTATATCAGGAGAACATGGATCACCAATGGGTTTTTAACTTGCAGCAAAGTGTAATTTTGAACTATTAGTTTTAATTTTTTTTAAATCTAAATTTCAGTGAAAACAACCTTAAAGCAAATGTTCATAAGCTGTTTTGTAAACCAAGAGGACCAAAATATAACTTTAAGTTCTGGAAAGGGAGATACTGTTGAGAAGAGGTTGATTCACTAAGGTATAAGAAGATTGGCAGGCGAAGCACAGACTTACAAGATTCTGTTCTTGCAGTCTGTCTCAATAAAGTCTACTTCTATAGAGACTCTTTCATGATCTGGTCTACCTCAAAGGGCTGATAGGTTCATTGTACAAGTACAGTCCCTAGCTACCGGTCATCTTCCCTCCCTATAAAATAAATACGCAGTTTTTTATTTTTTAGATTTATATGCCTACCCATCTCAAATACATGACTCTTTAATATAATTAAAACATGTTTGATTTTATATTTCTGAAATAAATATTTTTATACAATGCTTTAAGAAAATGTTCAATATAAACCTTAAATATTTTTTAAAAAACAATAGTTACTTTTCTTGAGGGTTTATACTTGCCAAATTAGAAAAAGTAATTGAAAAAACATATTTTATAAATTTAGTACAGTATGAAGAAGTAGAAACTTTTGTCTCTCCCATAAGTCTAGAATATAGTATTACAGTATACTACCATCCAGTAAAGCTAAATTATAGGAAATTTGAAATGTGCATATAAGGAATGTACTATGCAAGATGTGGTAATGTCTACTACTTTAGAACGCTTGAAAAGGAAAGTCCCTGTTCTACAGACAGGGAAAAATAGAGTTAAATCCAATTACTGAAGGAGTATGTTTTATAGTTGGAAATTAATATAGAGGAAGTCCTTCTCTATTATTTGTGAGCAGTGGGTCTCTGAAATAAAGATGTCTTAAGCCTATCTGTTAATTTTAAAGCCTACTTAAGTGCATAGTGAGCTGATAGTTCCATGACCTTATGTGAAGTTAAACCACTTTAGATCTTTAAAAAGGCTTTGGGGCAACATGGGACACGTGAAAGCTTTGGGTGCAATTCATAGAACCTATCTAGAAGTTAACGACAGAGTCATCTCCTTTGGATTATATTTCATTTATTTCATCTAATTTATTACTAAACGCAAGCAATAAGTTAAAAGAATGAATTAGTTATTTGGAACTAGATGACAAAGGACAGCAATGTATTTTAAATATATTGCTGGCCTGACACTTCTAGGTTTCTTATCACCAGTAGTTTCATGGAGGTATTAAATGTTACAGGGACAAGATGGAACTCAGTGTTACAGCATAAACCAAAACGTTATTTATTGAACTGCAATTCCTAGCATGACATGTTGAATACTATCTGGCAAAAAGGATCTTAACCATTGCAAAAATATCATAGTCCAGCCGAATGCCTGGTCAAAAGTACTGAATCATTTCCAAGACATTCAGAATAACCAGTGGGCTGCATTTGTATTGTAGGTCAGCCATAAAGGTGACCATAATAGTCTCATATCTTGTCCCAAAGCCCAATTTAGATGGATTCAGATGGTCAGTATGATTCAGGTATGTCTGGAATTATAAAACTACTACCTTTTCAAACACTAAGATGAATTACTGAATTTGAGACCTTATAATTTTCCAATCCCCTTTTTGTTGGCAGACTGAGGTAGCAAAGTAACTGTCAAATGCTAATACAATATCTTAAAATGTATGTTGCACTCCCAAAGTGATTGGAGGAACATTTCAAATCATAGTCTTCTGTTGATTTTGTAACTCCAAATATTTCTGGATTGCTATCTGGCTGGTGCAATTTGAATCTAAATTCCATCACATTTTTTCTTACTTTTTTTAAAAAAAAATTAGAAATATGAAAAAGCCTCCAAATTAAAATGTCTGCAATTATCTGCTCAGTTTCAAAGAGCAAGACGAGATGTAGACCTCCAAAGTAAAGTCAGAGCACTTGCAGTCATGTATAGATAAATTCTTATTTAGAAATCAAGAGAAAGAGCTGAATATTCAAAAAGATCCAGGAGACTAATAAAATGTTAGATCTAAGCAAAGATCAAATAAAAAGGCACAAGATCAAGCTATTAGAAAAGTTGCTCCAGCATGTTTATACTTGTAATCAAAGGACATTATGATGCAATACAGCTAATGTATTTTATTTCAGACCAATCTATTTTATATAATTTTAAAATCTAAAATAGATCTTTTACACAAACTTTTTATCTAAGTAGTAAACTAGCAATTCAATTTATATTATTTGCATGATGGCGCCATTATTCAAATCATATCAATGATATGATATGTGTTTTCAGTTGAGATTTAACAGACATTTGGATTTATGCATCTGTCCCCCCCATCCCCCCAGTCGGTTACGATTAGGGAAGTAATATCTGCAGGTACACCTTTCCCCTACACACACAAACACACACACACACACACACACACACTTTAGAGTTTAGTCTTGATCTTTGATCACAGAAAACTGGCTGAAAGTGTTTCTGGATATTTAGAAACACATGTTTAAGTTGTTGAAATTGTAAGCAAACTAAGATGTTTGGCAAAAAATTTAAAGAAATGTGTTTATATTTCTTTGGGCGGGTGTTTTTGCTGTTTCCCTACTACAGGAGAAAGTGCTCCATGCTGTTTTATATTAGATTCTGTTTTTGTTGAACATTGCTTTGACTAGAAACACCATCTGGAGTAGTTCTGGAATGTGTGAAGAAATTAAAATGAACCTTATGAGAATTCAGGTTTTTTTAACTGCAATATTTTAACAGTTTGTATACTTAGAAAAAAAACCTGCTACTCTCTTTTCAGATTTTAAAATATTGATAGTTGAATCCCTTATTATGAAAGAGAAAAATCATCTTAATTTTTTTAAAAGGAACACATATATAAATGAGTGCTTTAGAGTTTTTCTAATTTTTCAAAATGAATTCCATCATCAAAGATTTCAACTAGTTCTTGACATTGAGCTGGAAAATTGGGTTGTTTTTAGTATATTTTTATGTAGTGACATCATTGTTATGCAAAAGAAGTATCTTGCTTGGATATGTTTTCTGCCATAATTTAAGTAATTTAATATTAAATTTAAATAATTACTTTTTAAAAAGTATCTATTTCCTAATTTTTAACAATTTTCCTATTTAAATTTTAAGTGTAGTACCTGAGATAGCGTCTATCAATTGCTTTTTCCTGATATATATTTCTAGATTGTTTTCTTTAGATTGTAAATCATACATAAATGACTGTAACATTTGGTCTGGGCTTTCTATTAATAAGAGATTAATAGAGGCTTCTCATTGCTGGTGGTGTGTAACAAGAGTTTTATCAACTGTTGTGTTCATTCTTTTCTCTCTACCTTTTTTCTACTAAAAGAAACATTTGTTTAAATACTCCATCGGTATTTATATGCTTTTCTTTTCCTTTCAAGCCCCATCTGCTTTGATATGATTGAAGAAGCTTACATGACAAAATGTGGACACAGTTTCTGGTAAGGTTGCTTGATGAAATTGTTTAGCAAGAGTGATTTATTTATAAAATGAAAATGTGTGAACTAAAGTTATTTTGTTAAATGCACCTTTCCAACTCAGTATCTTCATTAGAGATACTATTTTCTATCTCTGAAAGGTAACATTGACATTGCTTTAAACAAAAAAATATTAAAATATATGAAAACAGTTTGGTGGATGAAGCAGGACATGGCACATGCATCAAATTCTTATAAGTGACTATGAATTCTTCAAAGCCATCAATAGTTTTCAAAGTTCTTACTCTTAAAAGCTGCTTTTTTTAAAAAAGTGATGTATCTCATTGAAAGTTTGGATGCATACAATTCTTTCTGCACTTTTGTATGTTATGAAGTATCTTTGAGGATGATAAATCTATGTTACAGGCAAAACTGTCTATTAACATCCAATATTGCTTGCTGTTGGCAACAAGGTAATATTAATTACCAAAAAAAAAAAAAAAACCTGCCCAGAACTTGAAGATACTTCATTGATTTGATCTTTAGTACTCAACCACCTGGTACCATAGCTCCAATTCATCAACTAACAAACAGAATGTAATGCATCATATTCAAAAACACATCTTAATAAATTTGTGCAGTATTTTTCACTGTTCTGTTTTCTTGAATAGTTATAAATGTATTCATCAAAGCCTGGAAGATAACAACAGATGCCCCAAATGCAATTATGTTGTGGATAACATTGATCATCTATATCCCAACTTTTTAGGTAAGTTTTAATGTTCAGTAATAAAGCCTTCGATTATATCTTGGTAACTTTCTCAACTGAACCTTTATTGCTGGTTGTTTATTTCTTTATTATGCTTCACGTACTTCCATTGATTTTGTACAACATAGACTACTTTCCTGGATATGTAATATCTGAATATCAGGTGTTCAGTGATATAAAAATCACTGTAGCTTTGCAAAACAATACGTGATTGTGAAAGCAACAAATTGAAAATGATTAGTAACCAAAGGATTTAATAATGCTTTGTCATATTTGATTTTGAGATGTGAAGAAGGGAGAGTGAAGATCAAAATAGGCCTTTATTTATTTATTTATTTATTTATTTATTTATTTATTTTATATTGCCACTTATTTGCCCATGGCAACTCGAGGCACTTTCAGAATATAAAACCATATTAAAAAATAAAATAAAAACTAACAAAAAGAATCAAATAAATTAATAGAGTACAATAGAACAAAATCTGGGGGGGGAAATCACCCCCCAACCCGATGACAACAGATCACAAAAGCCATTTGATCGGCTCCATCCCGCTCTGGGTTCCCCAGGCCCGCTGGCAGAACCAAGTCTTCAGTGCCTTCCGGAAGAGTATTAGAGAGGGGGCCATTCTAATCTCTGGGGGAATGATGTTCCAGAGAGAGGGAGCCACCATGGAGAAGGCCCTTCTTTTGGGTTCCACCAGGTGTATCTCCCTCAAGGATGGGACCCGCAGCATTCCCTGCCTCCCCACTCTGATGGGTTGGGTAGATGTGACCTGCAAGAGACAATCCCTCAGATAACCTGGTCCCAAGCCATGAAGGGCTTTAAAGGTGACAACCAGCACCTTGAATTGCACCCGGAAGCAAATTGGCAACCAATGCAGCTCCCGCAGGAGAGGTGAAACGTGCACACCGGGGTCTGCACAAAACCATGCGGGCCGCTGCATTTTGCACTAACGAGCTTCCGGCTGTTCTTCAAGGGTAGCCCCATGTTGAGCGTGTTGCAATAATCAAGATAGGCAATGACTAGGGCATGCGTGACTGTGAATAGTGTCCATTGGCCCAGGAAAGGGCATAACTGGTGCACAGCCTGCAGTTGCGCAAAGGCCTCCTGGCCACGACTACCATCTGCTCTTTGAGCAGGAGTCATGAATCCAGAAAAAAACTCAGATTACGCACAGGGTCTGTTTGGGGTTTTGGTCTGTTTTATGTTAAATGAATTGTATACTCGGCATAAAATCTTCTTAAGTCATAATGCCTGTGACACAGTTATTCTGCCAAAATGGGTTTGCAAACTTTTTTCTGCTCTTTTCTTGGAAATAGTAGCATTTGTAAAGTGGTTTGATAATAGTCTTTTCTGATCTTGGACAGTTTGCGAGTGATCTTATTTCAAACAATCATTTATGTTTCATGTAATGATAGATTAGAAGTAGGAAAAAATAAAACTGAATTAAAGTTTTTCCTTTTGGTTTTGCGTGAATAGGAGAGAGACATACATGAAACGAATATGGAGGGTAGGAAAAAGTGCAAATATGTAATTTGGTTGTATATCGTGTGAAAAAGTCCATTTTGTACATTTGCAATCTGTAGTTAAAGTTATAGACTTATTAAAAGACCAATTTTAAGGACCTTCTGTATATGATGGGGGGAAATTGTGCCTATGGTGTATATTTTAATATAGGTAATGTGGATTGGGACATATTCCATAAAATGTGATTCATTTTCAAAAGCTTAGTTTCATAAAATTAATTAGTAACATAATGAATAAGTAACACTGAACAACTGAAATTGTTAAAATATAAATGAGTTAACATCTGCTGTTAGTAGACTATTGTGTACAATAAAATGTAGCTTTTACTATTCCTACATATTAGATGAGCTTCAATCTCCTTGATTTACTCATATTTGTATTTAAATACTGTATTTACAATAACACATCTCTAAATGTCTAGATTATTAGGGGTAAATCCTGTTAAATGTTAGCTATTGATTGTATTTTATATTACCCAACTAAAAATGACTCATGTTGATTTGAAAAAAGTAACACCAAAAATCATGAAATCACAGTAACTACAACAAAATCCAAATTCTAGAACATATGTGGCTACCAAATTCTTAAACAGCCTTCAAGTGCTTGTTAAAACAAGATTGCTTTAATGTCCTTCTTGAAAGCTAATAAGGGTATCAAATATGGTGGAGGCCATCAAGGAAGAGGGCTGCCTTAGGGCCCATGTCCCTTTGAATATTTGTAGGGATGAGATTCTCAGCATCTTCTCCCTGTCAGTGTTATACTAACTGAGCAGATTCTGCCTGGTGGGGATGGCTCCCTGGAATCAAGCCACTTAGTCAAAAGCAGTACTTTGAAATCTACTGACAACCAGCGTAGTGAATGAACACTTGAATAATGGATGTCACATTCTTTACCAATGGTAGCTTTGGATCATGTTTAAGTGAAACCCATGTAGAATGCTTACTGTAATCCAAAGATGTGGTAATAATGGCATGATTTATTTTCATCAAATATTTTTTATTTAAATGCGCAATAACTCTGATGTCTAGGTCATTAATATGTTAGAGGAAGCTGGACACCCACAAATCTGAATGTATTTAATGGTCACATTTGATGAACCAGTTACAGAATGGTGAAGATGCATCATATTTTGATGTATATAGTTTGTTGAAATAAAATGAGTGACTGTTCATCAATATTGCTGTATAAATTAAAAATACTGTATGTACAGTATACATTTTCCAGAAAAATTATGGAAACCTTTTTATTCTGATTGGCAAGTGAGTAATATTTGTGGCTCTATTATGTTTAATCTTCCTTTTTACTGAATTAATAAAGGTGCAGTGTTGAAGTTTACTCCTTTGATCTTCTTAGTATGCATTTATTTCTAAGTTTATCTTTCATCTATTTTCTTAAAATGTACTACTTAAATTTTTTTCGCCCTGTAGTGAATGAGCTCATCCTTAAACAGAAGCAAAGATTTGAGGAAAAGAGATTCAAATTGGACCATTCAGTGAGTAGCACCGTATGTCCCAATCTTCTTTATTCCATTTGGTTATTTCTGGGCTTAAGGGATGGGGTGCATGGTATTCCTATGTTCTAAGCATTTGATAATGTCTGGTTTTTTTGGCAGACAGCTCAATTAATCTGTAAGCAAATTTGGGATTTTCATTATACAGTCTAACTTTACTCTTTAATATAATAATGGTTTTGATAGATTTGTGAATATAGATTCAAAATGTTCTGTATTTTCCAGTGCAGTTTATAATTATTACAAGTTATGACAGTGGGATAATCATGAAAGTTATGCTTTATAAGACTTAGGTAAGAATATCGGTGATATTAAAACTGATACTACACTTCTCATTCACATAATCAAGTCTTTTTCTGTGAAATTCAAATTGTCTGCAGGCAATTGAAGTCTTGGACCATTCCAGTTCAGATCATTATATAAAGTAATGGTCTATGAGTTAAATTTCTGGTTAAGCTTTGACACCCATAGGAAATATCTGGTGGTATATGTCTGAGAAGTCACATGCGGCATCATGGTGGCCAGTGTAACTTCAAACATCAGTCATTATATTATAATATGTATAAAAAGCAGTGGTGGTATTCTACCAGTTCGGCCCAGATTGGTGAATTGGTAGCTCCGACGATCAGCTGCTCCCACCTGTCCCGGCTCTATACTGACCTTTATTTCCTTCTTTTCAACCTCAGCTGCTTCGCGTGGCACAGCCAATTGCCGCGCGTCAGCTGTTGAAGACACGGAGAGTGCAGGATTGCAGGAGAAGGTTAGTAGCAAACCTTCTGTGTGCGCGCAAAGCACGCCCACCAGGTCACGCCCACAAAACCGGTGGTAAAAAAAAATGGAAACCTACCAATGATAAAAAGGGAAATCACATATCATAACACAATATACCGTATTTGCCGGCGTATAAGACGACTGGGCGTATAAGACGAGCCCCCAACATTTCCACTCAAAATATAGTTTTTGTTATATACTCGCCGTATAAGACGACCCCCCCACTTGGAGGCATGCTTTTCAAGGCAAAAAAGTCGTCTCATACGCCGGCAAATACGGTAAGTTGTAACACTTGGGGTATTCTGGATATAATTCTTGATTGACACCCCCAACCCCTTTCCCCCAAACTTACAAAGCCACCAAAATGCTTTAGAGAGGCAGCTTCGCCTTTCTCAGGCTGGCACTCAATTCCTCTCCCTTTCTTTGTGACAGCCCCCGCGTGCGTGCCATCGGGACTCCAAGGGTGGGGGATGGACAGCTGCCAACTCACTCACTCTCTCTCTCTCTCTCTCTCTCTCTCTCTGTGTGTGTGTGTGTGGTGTGGAGGGTAATTCCGGCTATCTCTGGCCTCCGCTCGGTTTTAAAGTCGCTTGGCCGGTTCCCAAGTCGCAAGCGCGCGCTGGCCGGGAGACGCGGCGCCGGGTGGAAGCTCGGTGCAGGGGAGGCAGATCTTTCTCTCTTAAGCGGGGAGGGGAGGAGGGGACAAGAGGAGGGACGGGACGGGACAGGGGGCGGGAGGAGGGCGCTCGCCTTCTTCCACCGCCCACCGGACCCTTTTCTTCCCAAGGGGACCCTGGAAAGCAGCTCGGGAGCTGGGTGGCCCTGCCCAGCGGGGTCCCATCAGGAACTTCCTGAGGACATTCCCCCCCGCCCCAAGCACAGCCCTCCCGGTCTTTCAAAGAGGGAGGGAGAAGCGGGAGGAGCAAATTGCCGCCCCCCGCCCCGCTGCCCAGAAGGAGGGGCGCCACAGTCCACCCCCACCACCTTCTCCCCCCCCACTCCCTGGGCCATTACGCGGCTCGGGGCTGGCTGGGCGAAGCGGCCCCGCCAGAGACCCTCCCGCTCCACCCCCACCCCACCTCCAGATTGGCCTCCGCAAGCGCCCCGAGCCGGGCGGAGGGTGGGTGGGTGGGTGGGAGGAGGAGGAAGAGAGACTCCGGCTGGGCTTGAAGGGGCTTCGCAAGTTGCGGAGCTCCGCCCCCGTCGCTCTTGCACCGAGTGACAATGTATTTACCGGCGTATAAGACGACCCCCCCACTTGGAGGCATGTTTTTTAGGGCAAAAAAGTCGTCTTATACGCCGGCAAATACGGTATCTTTATTTGGAGAACTTAAGTGAATGTGGTATGTATATGCCATTCTGATAGATTCTAAGGTTCTTCCAAGAAACATTTATTTGTATATTTAATTTGGCCACCCATCTCACCAAGTGATAATTATTAATGATTAATAATATTAAAAAATATGTAGGAGCCAAGAATAAATAACTCATTATAATAACTAAACCATGAAATGGGTCTGCACACACTTGGAGCTCTAAGCTTTGGCACAGAGTTAGGTCTTTAAGGACTTAGAAAAAGCCAGCAAGTTGGAGCCATACTGAATAAATCATAGCTTTTAAGTGCATCAATTATATTATTGAAATATTTGATTCACAAACATAAATATGTGAACAATTGTTGAAATTCAGGTGGTAATCATAAACAGATGCTAAATATAATTGCATAGCTATGGACTAATGCTAACATTATTGTATTTGGACTGTTAACATTGTATTTACACAAGAAATTGAAATGGTTTGGCTAAAAGATTTCACTTTCATATTAAAATAAACATATATACAGTTTCTGTTAAACTTTTCTTTGGAACAGGAGGCCACATTCTTTTGTTTCTCTACATGTTGAAACAGATAGATACATCAACATTTCATCTGAAATATTATCACAATTTCCACTACATATCTAATTACCCAAATACATTTCCTAAATAAGCTGCAGAGCATTCTGCACATGCCCCTAGGCTCCCCCCCACCCCCTTCTTCAACATGTAGCTGTTCATGGCCATTCATTAATCTAGCTGCATCTGGGAGTTTAAGCATAGCATTTTGTATGGGATGGCAAGTGAAATTGGAGATATGAAAGAATCTGTCAGGCGCGCAAAACTTCGGAGTCCTCTTTGGATCTGAATTGGATAATTGTAGCTCTAATAACAGTTGAGTGTTCCAAAGAATATTTTGAGGACATGGGAGTGAAGGAAGGAGGTGGTATAAGTTTGGGATTATATTATTCAGGGCTCATTTGTTACAGCAAAGTGTGGGATTCTGCACGACTGCAGTAATGCATGTCCTGACTCACCTCAAGGAGACTGGACATTGCTTCTGCAAATAGTGAAAAAGAAAAAAAAATAGCCTGAAGTAAGTTTATCCTTCCTTACAATTTTTCTCAGAACGGTATGTTTCCATTGGATTACTGTGATTGCTTTATGTTATTATGTAATATACAGTATAAGCTATGTTAACTTAAGGCTCTGAAACATGTCTTGATTATTTGTTTGCCTTTTTTTCTCTTTAGAATGGGCACAGGTGGCAAATATTTCAAGATTTGTTGGGAACAGACCAAGACAATCTTAATTTGGCCAATGTTAACTTAATGTTGGAACTTTTGGTGCAGAAGAAAAAACAACTGGAGGCAGTAAGCTTTTTTCTAATCTCTTAGATATATATTATAAACAATATATTTCTTTTAGTGGAACTGATCCCTTTTTTTTGCCAGAGTTTGGTTGATATACCAATGTACAGATCAGTAACCTAGTGCCTAAAGGCCCTAAAATGGTCTTTAAATACCCAGTGGATAGTCCTGCCATCATCAGAATAAAATGCTTTACTTTAAAAAATCCATTATGGGATTTTTATGGCTTTATGTGAGATCTTTTAAAGTAGCAGGGTGTTCTCTAGTCCATCATACAAGAGTGTGCCATGGCTGAGAAAAGTTAATATCCCGTTCATTAGTTAGTTTTAAATGAAGGCATAATCTGTTGGGTTTCATAAGATATTTTAGACATGTAGCAAATGCATTATTTCACTGGGTTTCAGATGATGATAAAAATATTTGGACAAATAATTTCCAACATATATTGTATTATCAACATCCTGAGGAGAAGGGCTTCATTATCTATAGATCTCCAAAAATTGCTGAGTGCATTCCCAGCTTTCCAATGCTGCCTGCGTTGTGGTGTGTTGTACTTTAGCAACTCCTGAAATGGATTCCTTGACAATATCCAAATGAATTTGTACTTGTTTGTATAAGGTTTGTCTTTCCCTTTTTGTTCCATAGGTGAAAAAGTGGTATGAAAAAAATATGCCATAAAGTTTCATTACAACATTTTGAGGGAATTGTATTTTCTCAAAATAAACTGGGTGCACAATTATTAAGCAAGTGGTATTTTGGAGGATTACTTTTATTATTGAACAACTACAGTGCTCTTGGTCAATCCAAACTGTTAATAAATCTCAAACTTGAATAGTTAAGAAAGTAAAAGAGAGGTTTTGGCTTTCTTAAGAGAATATCTATGTGTGCACAATTATTGGGTAACAATGTGCAGAATATGCAACTAAATGAAAAATGCAAATTTGCCCATCTCATTTATTTGCATCTTTTAAAGTGAGAACAATAACTCAATCTATAAATAAACATTTCTGACATTTAAAAAAAACACCCAGTGACCAATATATTCTTTTCAATAACAGCCATGGTCTTGAAAGATGCAGACTTTTCCATTCATGGAGTCTGTCAGTTTCTTGATCTGTTGACCATCAACTTTTCATGCAGCAGTAATCACAGCTCCCAGACACTGTTCAGAGACGTGTATTGATTTCCTTCACTGTAAATCTTCCGTTTAAGAAGGGCCCCCAAGTTCTCAATAAAGGTCAGGTGTGGAAGGGGGCCATGTCATTATTCTTTCATCTTTTAAGATCTTTGTTGGCTAGCCACACAGTGGCATACTTCGATGCATCCAATAGAGCATTGTCCTGCATAAAAATCATGGTCTTGAAAGATGCAGACTTTTTCCTGTACCACTGCTTGAAGAAAGTGTCTTCTAAAAACTGGCAATAGGTTTGGGAGTTGATTTTGAGTCCATCTTCAACCTGAAACAGTCTTAACTAGCTGTCAACTTGTAAAGCATTTTTGTCTTGCTCTCGGGAACAGGGTCATAGGTGAGCAGTAAATTATGTAGGGCAGAGCTGACTGCAACTGGGAAAAGCGCCAACATGTTGCTCCTAATAAATAATAGGATTTCTTTTGAAACTTGTCTCGAGGCTCATGAATTAATTAGCATCCATCGGAACCCTGACACTAGCTCATCTTTAATAACACCAGCCCATACCAGTACCCCACTTCCACCTTGCTGGCATCTGAGTCGAAGTGGAGTTCTGTGCCCAATACTGATCAAACCACGGGCCTATCCATTTGATCTGTCAAGAGTCATTCTCACGTCATCAGTCCATAAAACCTGTTGTGGTTCGTCGACTGCCAGTGGAAATGGCAGTCGAGTCAGATGAGTCAGAGGAGATGGAGGGGTGCCTGGGTTACCATCAGAGCTGGCAGAAGGCTCAGAAGAACAGGAAGTCTCAAAGCCAGATGCAGAATAGGGTCCATCTACTCATGCTCGGGCAGAGAGACAGCTGTTTTCGGGGCATGAGATAAGCAAGGGCGAGGAACAGCTGGGCCCTGTCCCAGATGTGCATATGCGCAGAGAAGGGAGAAGAAAGCAATACAGGACTGAGGACCAGCTGTTCAGGAGAAGAAGGAGGCGTTAACAAGTCCCTCCCCAGTTGATATATAAGGAGGAAGGGCCTGGGAGGCGTGGGTGTTGGAGACATCCATTGATGCTCCAGAAGAGTTCCCTCCGGCGGATTGCTTGCCAGGATTTCCTTTGCCACTAACCAGGTTGGTCAGAACTCTGTTTTGGAATTGAAGCTCCCTGTGGAGAACTTACAGGCTTGTGAATCACCTACTGGAGGTGTGACCTGGAGCTTTGTCAGTGAATGCCCTGAATTCCTGCCTTTCTAAATAAAAAGGTTTTTCCTCATGAGTAGGCTGTTGATTTGGGGCTCATGAAGGCTGGGTCAGAATAAAACCTTTGAAAAATCTATCCTCAGACACTTCTTGGCCCAGTCTTGCCGTTTCAACTTATGTGTCTTGGTAGTAGTGATTGGGTTTCAGCCTTCCTTACGTTAGCCATGTCTCTGAGCACTGAACACCTTGTACTTCAAGACTCTCCAGGTAGGTTGCAGTTCCGGAACATGATAGCACTGGAGGCTAATGGATTCCTGGTAGCTTCATGTTTGATTCTTTTAAAATCTTTGGCTGTTAATGAGCATCTTTTTTTCTCAACAGGTTTCTTGCTGTTGACTATTTGCAACAAAACGTTAGTTGGTTCTGTGATCACGCCCCAATATCTTAGCAATTTCAAGAGTGCGACATGCCTCTGAAAGACTTTTTACAATTTTTGAGTTTTCAGAATCAGTTAAATCTCTTTTTTGGCCCATTTTGCCTGAGGAAAAGAAGCTGCCTAATAATTATGCACACTTTGATATAGGGTGTTGATCTCCTTCAGCCACACCCTCCTTCATTACATAAATACACATCACCTGATATGCTTATATCCACTAAGTATTCAAGTTTGTACAGCTTGGAGGTGGAAAATATGCAGAAAAAAGATAATATGGTCAAAATACTCACTTGCCTAATAATTGTGCACATAGTGTACACAGTTTTTGGCTAGTACACAACATTATTTTCTGTTTTGCTTGGTGTTTTCCTTATTGCCTCTAGTTTTGGTAAGAACCAGTTAGGGGGATGTGAGCTTCTTCACTAGTGTTTTGAATTCCTTAGAGCAGATTCTCTACAAACATGATTATTTTATAATACAAGATCTGAAACTATGATTTGAAGTGGACTTTTAAGTTGTGGATAAGCCATTTGTTTTCTTAATGTCACTACATTTAGCAGTTTGTGATTCTAATATGTATGTATCTGTACTTAAATATTGTACATAGAATTCCAATGTCTTAAATGCCTCTTTGATTACCAATTTCCTTTTTCCACCTCTTCCCTGGTTTATCACAACTTATTGTTATAGGAGTCCCATGCTGCCCAGCTACAGATTTTGATGGAATTCCTCAAGGTTGCCAGGAGAAATAAGAGAGAGGTAACATGACCTACTTTGCTTTATTATTATTACAAACATATTTCCATTACTCTCTTAAATAATACAGATTAGTTTATCACTGTTTAAGAAATATGGGAGTGGCAATCTGTTACAGTTTATTTCAAACACATAAACCTGAAGAATTTTGTTGTTCTTAGTCACGAAGTCATATCTGACCAGGTGTGGGAATTCTACCAGTTCGGACCGGTTCAGGCAAACTGGATGTTAAAATTATATCTGGTTCACCAAACTGGTATGTCAGCTGACCAGCTGGCCCCGCCCGCTCCTTCCAGGAGTCTCCATGCAGCCCAATTTTGATGTAGGTAAGGGCAGGATCCGCGCAGAGGCTCTGGGGGAAAAAACGGGCCTTCCGGAAAAACCGGAAGTTGCAAAACGGGCCTGTTTCCGGCTTCTGGTGGGCCTCCAGAACCTGGGGGAGGCTGTTTTCGCCCTCCCAGAGGTGAGGCTTTTAAGTTGTGGATGAACCGTTTGTTTTCTTAATGTCATGGACCTTTGGAGGGGCAAAAAATGGCCCTCACGGAAAAACCAAAAGTCACAAAACAGGCTTGTTTACGGCTTCCTGTGGACCTCCAGAGCCTGGGGAGGCTGTTTTCACCCTCCCAGAGGCCCAGGGGAAGCCTCCAGACCCTTGGGAGGGCGAAAACAGCCCTTAGGTATGAACGATCCTACCGTTTTTTATAAATACCTAATCAGTGGCTCAATTTAAACATACCTAAGTAAGTATGGCAATGCATGGTGCCTGATGACTCTTACTGGATTGCTCTTGTTGAATAAACCAGTGAATATCTACGTATGATTTTGTTGAAATTATGTTCAGTCTAGGATCTTTTGTTGATTATTTTCGTCACAAACCACAAATTTAGGCCATGTGCAGTTTTTTAGTTCACTATGCTGGAATTTAGGTTCAGACATACTGTTAAAAGAAATTTTATTGGCTTCTTTGGATAATAGGAGTAGTTAAGACAAAAGAAGTATGATTAGACTTGTACCCGTACTTGGCTATACTTAAGAAAACTCTCATTGAAATAAATGAACTTTAAATTAGCCACAACTATACTGTCATTAGGTCTATTCTAAGGAAGAACAGTTATGCTAATTACTAATATATGTTGTACAACTAATATATTTTGTACAGTGTTACCCATGGAGCAGAAAATTGTTCATGTTGCCAGATGTTTTAAATGTACAGATGTGTATTTTAAAGTACTGTATTTTTTGGACCATAAGACGCATCAAGGTTTAGAGAGGGAAAACAAAAAAAAAAATAGTTTTTGGTCTCCGTGTGTTCTGTTTTTTGGCCTTCCTGGCCCCCAGAAGCACCCTGCAGGCCAAAAATGGGGCCATTTTTGTGTGTTTTTTAAATGGCTGTTAGCAAATTTTATTTATTAACATTGAGTATGCTTGTAACTGATGGTAAGGAACTTAAGTTTTGTTAATATTTTCCTCATTTCGATTTTGCTATCAGTCTACTGGTAGAATGCGTACCTAAAAATACATTACTGCATTTTGTTCTTTTACCATTTATTGTGCCCACGACCTCTTTTTCTGTCACAAGTAATTTATGATAGTTCTGCCAGTATAACTTACATTTTTAAAATCTTTCTTTTAATCTATAGCAGTTAGAGCAAATCCAGAAGGAGCTGAGTGTTTTGGAAGAAGATATTAAACGAGTAGAGGTAAGGCTCTCCACAATCATTGCAACAAGCAGGTTTTGTTTTAATGTGTATCAAACTGATTGCATCATGCTCAATGGCAAGTGTAAAGGTGGAGAATTAACTTTTTATGAGTTTGCCATACGTGCACAAATAATGCTGTCAATTATAAAACTTTATCTCCACGGTCAAGTGATTGAAATTTGAGTGCTTGACATCCGACTCATATTTACAACGGTGGCAGTATTTTGCAGTCACATGATTATAATTTGCAACCTTTCCAGCTGGCTTCCTGGCAAGCGAAGTCAATTGGAGAAACTTAACAATCATGTCAGTGGTGGGATTCCAAAATTTTTACTACCGGTTCTCTGGATATGGTTTGGTGGGCGTGGCAGGGGAAGGATACTGTAAAATCTCCAGTCAGAGGTGGTATTTGCTGATTCTCTGAACTACTCAAAATTTCCTCTACCAGTTCTCAAGAACTGGTCAGAACCTGCTGAATACCACCTCTGAATCATGTGATTCACTTAGCAACCATATGATTCACTTAATTACTGCAGTAAAAATGGTTGTAAAATCAAGTCTGGCATGTTACAACTTGTTTAAAACTGCATTGCTTAGCAACTGGAATTCCAGTCCCAATTGGGCTCATGTGTCGAGGACTAGTTCTAAACTTACGACTACAATTGGGACTTGAACATTTGTTAAGTGATACAGTGGCTAAATAAGTCATGTCGTATTTGATTACTGTGATTGTTACCATTAAATGAATCATGGCCATTAAGTGAATCATGTCATTAAACAAATCCAACTCCACCCACTGACTTTTCTTGTTGGAAGGCCCCTGGGAAGATTGCAAATGGCAATCATATGACCCTGAGACACTGCAATTGTAAATACATGCCAGTTTGAATTTTGATTATATGATCATGGAGATGCTGCAATGGTAGTAACATGACTGCATTAAATAATCATTAGTTGAGGACCACTTGTAGCCCGGTGGATTATTTGAAAGCTTTAAAAATGATAGCATAAATGCCTTTTGTACAGGTAGTCATTGAGTTGTGACTGGTTGAAGTTATGACAGGTCCACCTTTGGACTACTTACGATCCAGATGCAAAGTCCCAATGGTTTCCCCCATCTCCGCAGCCACATTATTAAACTTCATGAGTTTAGCAAAATAGCTGCATTTTTCAGCCATTTGCAGTATATTGCAGCTGTGTGACTGTGTTTTACCATGTTTTTGCTGAAGGCTTTCAGGTTTTGGCAAAACACAGCAAGCCATTGGTTCATTTAACAACCATCACAAAAAGGTTTGTAAGCTCCGGTTGGTCACATGACTGACAGTTGTAAGTCGAGGAGTACCTGTATGCAATCTCAGTCTGCACCATGCACCCGTAATGGTGTGATGCTCTATCAACATAACATGACCCCATATGATTGAAACATCAAAAAGTCATAGGGTCTTAGTTGGAAAGACCTTTGTGATCGGTCTTGCACATGTGGTATGCATATCTACATACAGAACACAGCCATATAAAATTACACCACAAAAAAGTTATAGGCATACGTTAAACGTGCATGTAAATTAACTAAGGAACATTTTTTTCCCAGTGACAGAGCTGTAATATATCTAATTAAACTTTCCTAAGTGTGTGTGGTATTTTACCTTCTGTGGAAAAAGTGATTAAAAATAAGGGCAATAATTCTAATTCAGGTTTTATTCAGAAATTCTTTTTTGATGACAATAATGTGGTTCAATAACAGAATGAGTTTTTCTCTTCCATATGTAGCCTTCCATTGAGCCAAATTCTGGACTTGTGTATTGGATAGTTTTAGAGTTATTTACTGAGATGTACAGCAAATAAAAGGAAATAGTGTCATTGATGTGAATTCAGTTTGTGACTCTTTCAATGAGAGTGCCAAGTGTTGGTTCAGTTAGGCCATCCTATACATTTCAGTAAACTAAGCAAACCTATTTATTTTCTGGTAACATTTAAATATAATTTTGGCATTAACATTAATTATAAATATATTCATGGGTTAACATTTCTGCATTTGAAATGGTAATAGCCAACATGGATTATTTTGTTGGTTTTAAACAGCTCAGGTGGGAGCTTTTCTGGCTTCCTTTTCAGTAAATTCGGAAGGAAGCACAGTAATTTTCAATATTGCTCTGTTAAATATGAAAGGACAAAATATTTGCTAAATGTTTATGGAGATTTTCAGTCATCCAGGTCATGGTTGTCCCAAAGGTACTTTTTCAAGAGGCAACTGGACTTTCTTGTTTTTATTTGTCATTAAGGCACCTTAGAGGTTAATCTGTGTCCTCACGGTCACAGACAATACAGACTTATTCCCAACAACCTGCGCCTGTGTTCAACAGTGAAGGAACACAAGGCAGAAAACATCCTGCACCCAAGAAGGTTGCACACCCATTTGCACTACTCGGGTGACCCCGAAGACAAACCTCTAGGTGGCATCAACGACTCTCTAAAAGAATGCAAATAACCAGCTGTCTACAAGGACGATAAATCCTTCCATTCCCCACCATCCAGTTGGAGCTGAAGAAGCTTCTTGGATGAGAAGCGAAATATCTTCAAAGAAAAACCAAGTCCGGTTGCCTCTTGAAAAAACACCTTTGGGAAAAAATAGTTGCAATAAAAATAAATATAATGCTTTGATTTTAGAGACATCATGTAAAGACCTGGAAAAAGCTTTAATGCTGGTAAGGGTGGAAGGAAAAAGAATAGCCAAGTGGAGAGGTTCAATTATAGTGGTGAGTGGTGCACCATTATCGGTAGAAGACTTGAAAGACCAGTTTATCATAGAGAAAATCTATCTGTGTGGTCACTAGGGGTAAACATGACTTAATGGCAAGTAATAAAAATACTTTGATACAAATTTAAAATTAATGAAGGGATATAAATATCAAATTGTTTATTTGTATTGTGGCTCTATATTTATTCCAGGAGATGAGTGGTTTGTATTCACCAGTCAGTGAAGACAGCACTGTGCCCCAGTTTGAAGCTCCATCTCCTTCACACAGGTAACCAAATTTCAGTTGAATTAGATGCATCTATGTTTTTCAAATGATTTAAACAATGAATGCATGCACCTCTCTGCTGTTTATTAAAGCAGGCATGCAAACATGAAAAAAGATCCTCTTGCTTTACATGTTCTTCTAATGATTTGTGAGGATCCCTGACAAATTATCTGCTTTAATGGTGAAAAGTGGTGTGCTTGTATTCAGTCCAAGTCTAAAGTAATCTTTCAAACCATTTTTGAAATTTGTACAGAATCCATTAAAGAATACAGTGAAAACCACTTTACATCTTTTTGCCACTCTTTCTATCCTTGTTGTACTCCATATTAACCTGTCTTAAAGCATAGTTTATGTGGAAGTAAACATTGATAGAAATTACATATTACAAAGGTGATAAATCTATTACACTGCAGTTGTTTTAAATCTGTAAAGCTTGGAATGTTTCACCATAGGCTATTCTGTATGCAAAAGCTAGAAAGGAGATTTTGCTTGAGTGAATGCTTTAATGTCATCTTTAATTTCTTCACAAATTAGAGTTCACCTCAGTTAAAAGGTATCCTTATAAATTAAGCTAGCCTGTGTGGTTAGCAAGGTAACTGTCTATGCAGTACATAGGACAGAAAAATATCTACAGCTCCAACAGTCCCCCGGTGGGTGGGTGGGATATTTGCTTTTAGGACTTGCAGAAAAATGCTACATGAGCACTCTGAAGCACTTTTTTGTCTCTAAATCTGTAGCACTGTGCACTGCAGTTCTATCTATCAGAATTTTTTATTGTTACTATTGTTCATGTATGCTCTGTTTTTTTTTTTACAGTAGCATTATTGATTCTACAGAATATAGCCAACCTTCTGGATTTAGTGGCAGTTCCCAGGTATGAGAGTAATCTTCATATACACAGATATGCTGATAAATGTTGCAGATATCTTTTTGAATCTGGAATGTTCAGAATATTTTCAGTGAAAGATTTGTTCTATTTTTCAGTGATTAAATCAAAGCAGCTAAACTCTTCCAACATATAAATTCTTAATGATTTGTAGACTTCTTTTTTGTTGCTCTATGATGCAAATAATCCCATTATACACACACACACACACACACACACACACACATTCTTAAGTTTTTGTGGGTATTTATATGTATGGTATTCAGCTTTGTTCGGGTATTTTCCCACGTCATTATAGTTTTGCTTTTAAAGTTGTAGCAACGTTTCAGCAGAATCTCATCTGCCATCATCAGGCTTCTGTATTGTGTTCGTCTGGAACACTATACAGAAGCCTGATGGTGGCAGATGAGATTCTGCCGAAACGTTGCTACAACTTTAAAAGCACAACTATAATGACATGGGAAAATACCCGAACAAAGCTGAATACCACACACACACACACACACACGCTTCTATCTTGTCATTGTTCGTATGACCAGTCAGTGTCATCTTCATTCTTGAGGAAGTTGCTTCTGCATGCCCTAAGGGTATCTATTTATCAATTTCCTGAGTAGGTAATAAGGTCACCACCACACCATGTTTTTTAAGTCAGCATTGAAAATGGAGCAAAAACCCTGATCTGATTCATTGTTATATGGGAGGAGTTCCTCAATTTGTTTGAATTTACTATAAACAAATTTCATTGAGATAAAAAATGTAATTTACTTGCAGGAAAAACAGGAGCTTTTTGATATTAATCTGTGAAATAAAGATTATTTGACTAGATTTCCCCCACAGTGAATTACATTTTCTAAAATATCAATATTTTAATTGCATATTTAGTATTCACTTGCCAGTGAAATTACACTATTGGGTGTTTTGTATCAATAATCAATAACAAAATAAAATTTGCTTTTCTACAGTATTTGACCTCAAAATAAATTGGAGAGTAAAAAAAAAAAGTTTTGTCAAAAGCTATATAGATAGGAGTGCATAAACAGCGAGTATATGTACAGCTTCCTGATATTTAAAATATTGACTGACAACACCCCCCACCCCAATTACTCATTTCCTAAATTTGTTCCATTTGTTTCAATTGCCTGAAATTTCTTTGGTAAAGTAATGAAACATTTGCAAAACTCGGCAGATAATCTCCCATCAACAATAATAGAACCAATGTAATACTTCTTCCTGAAAAGGGCTGCCAGCCTCCCAAATTGTCTTTGGTTTGCTTATGAAGAAATATATTAATTTACTCATTGAATTTGATTTATATGTCTGCCCATTTTGCCAAGGAATGTGGTGTTGGCATTGCCTTGTTCAGGCTTATCTGGAGGTCCCTCTTGAATCTCCACTGTTTGAAGGGCAATAGCAGCTCTGGCCAGGGGAGGTCCCCATTACTGGAGCAGGAGATTTGTTCATCAGTTGTAACTTGTTCATCTCCCAGTTGGCCTTTTGCAATATGGTATACCTGTGGCTTTCCTTGAAAACCATCCATAGGCTTCCTTTGGGTAAAATGCAGTGATCAGATAGTTTATAGGTGCTATTTGTTATGCTCATGTGGCACTACAACTCTACAGAGTTGTGCATTAACTCCCAGTAGACTCCCTGCTGTCATGAAAGGACCACTAATAAAGGGCCTTCTTTCAAGCTCTACATGCATAGAATTGGGTGACTTGTGCGACTGCCATCTCCTAAGAACATCCACTTGCCCCACAGTCGTAGGAGGAGCTCTCTTTTAAAGATAGACATCTTATGTCTGAATGCATGCCTTCTTGGTGGTTGCTCCAGTTCTTTGGAATATTCTCCCCAAAAATATATTCAATTCTGCTTGCCTTTAGAAAAGTTGTTAAGATTGGCCTTTTCCCCAGGTTCAGTTGAATGAAGAACCCTTTTAGTTGTTTAATTATCACACCTGGTCCCCCATTTTATATTTTATGCACTGAGTTGTATGGGAGTATTTTCCCTGACAACAAATTGTAAATCTTTGGAATAAGATACACTGGTGGTGCTAATGTTTGTTTTAGTAATCTGCCTCTTTCTTAACCTTCCAGAAGATCTAGGTTCAGCTTTTTTGTAGTTTGCAGTGTCAAAACAATATTAGTGTGAAAATAACTTAAGAGAGGATACTATGTACTATGACATTTGATTTTGTTATTGTTTTTTGAAACTTAGATATGTAATTAAATCTGTTGAACTTCTCCCTTTACTTGTATATTACATAACTTTAAAAAATAAGATAAATATCTATCTGAAATATCTTAAGTGTAATTTATAAAATGATGATATATTCAAAATTGTTGGACTGAGTTTGATTTATGAACATAATTTTTACTTTTCCTTCATTCAGACTAAGAAACAGCCATGGTATAATAGTACTTTAGCTTCAAGAAGGAAGAGACTTACAGCTCATTTTGAAGATTTGGAACAATGCTACTTTTCTACCAGGATGACTCGTCTATCAGGTAGAATACCTATTAGCTTCTGAATAAAGTGGTTTATTGTGCCTCCCAATATCATCCTTCTGTTCTGCATAGTAATTTGCTATGGTTGGGATAGGATAGGACAGGACAGGACAGGACAGGATAGGATAGGACAGGACAGGACAGGACAATAGATATCTGCAGTCATAATATTATTGTATGATTCATCCCTTTCCGATATTCTTAATATTGTTTACTTCAAAATGATGTTTCTTATCTCTAAGCGACACATCCTGGTGAGAGAGAAGTTCCCTGAAGATGGGTTCCAGCACAAGTCCGAAAGCTTTGAAGACTAAACCTCTGTTCCCGGTGATAGACCCAGATTGGATCCTGAACCATGTTTCTTTTTTTTCTTGCTGTCCCCATTCTATTTTTTTCTATATAAATCTTAGGGTTATATTTTTTCTTGAGTGTTGGAGCTCTTGTTCATTGGTGTTACAGGTAGTCCTCGATTTACAACCATAATTGAGCCCAAAATTTCTGTTGTTAAATGAAACATATGTTAAGTGAGTTTTACTCCATTTTATGACATTTTTGCCACAGTTGTTAAGTGAATCATTGCATTTGATAAGTTAGTAACCTGGTTGTTAAATGAATAGGGCTTCCGCATTGACTTTGCTTGTCAGAAAATCACAAAAGGTGGTCACATAACCCTGGGACTCTGCAACGGTCATAAATATGAATCAGGTGCCAAGCACCTGAAATTTGATCACATGATCATGGGGATGCTGCAAAGATCATAACGGAAAAGGTTCATAAGTCACTTTTTTCATTGCCGTTTTAACTTTGAATGGTCACTAAATGTATAGTTGTAAATCGAGGACTATCTATATATGTAGTATCCTGGAGACCAGTGTGACATCTCAGTCCCCTTCCGTATGGTTAGATTTCTACTACAATGTAATTCAATTCTTCTGTAGTTTACATCATGGGACATTCCTCCTCAAACCACTGGACAGACTATTTTCTCAATATTTGTCTCTCCCTAGATCTTTCATGTACAAAAAAATAAAGAGTTTTACACTGATTACATCCCAGTTTTGTAAAAAGAAAGTGGCTTTTTAAAATACTGATTATAGTATATTTTATAACATCCTTTAGGATTTGTATTCATATTATATAAATGGGTATGGAATTATGTTGAAGCAGGTTTGAAGGGATGCTTTTCTGATGTCTTAAATAATTGAAAAGTTATTTTCCCTCATCAAACTATTTTTGCTAGTTTTTACTAAGAGATTTAGAATTAGGCAAACTAATAGAAGACTACTTTTACATTGTATGTATTTTCCACAGAAGTACATGGTTATGCCCAAATCATGCTTGTGGGGGATGACATCTGTGTGTACCTACTATATCATCTGATAGGCGTCAGGCTGGGAAAGGATGATGAAAGATTGTATATGACTTTCAGGTATTCTGCTTAAATTCTGTATTTGCTGTGTACTGCAGAACATATTTTCAGATCTTAATGGACTACATATGTAACCATGTCTATGCTAGTCCTGCAGAATAGAAAAAATAGTATTTTATTGATCTGTAAATGTATAGTGGCAGTTTACCATTTCCCCCTTCTTGTAAACTTTTAAACTGCATTCTTTCCTCCCTGCTTTTCCCATCTAGATGATAGTAGAACCTCAAACCAGCTGGATGAATTTCAAGAGTGCCTGTCTAAATTTACTCGCTACAATTCTGTTCGACCTTTGGCAACACTATCTTATGCAAGTGATCTCTACAACGGATCTAGCATAGTCTCAAGGTAATAAATACCTGTTTGAGTGCTATAAATCCTGAGAATTTATAGTTTGACAAAACTCTTCATTTATTTGCAGATAGTTTATTCACAATACTTTTTGAAGTTAGATGTTGTTTATATTATCTTAATATTTGCTTTTTAAAGCTTATTTTCATTCTTTACAATTAGCATAAGTTACCATACTAATTTTGAAATAATTAAGAGATTTTACTATCAGAATAATCCATCCATCATATCTGATCTGTTGTTACAGATTCATATCCATATTTAAATAAATATATTTAACTTATTTATTATATTTACCGTATTTGCCGGCGTATAAGACGACTTTTTTGCCCTAAAAAACATGCCTCCAAGTGGGGGGGTCGTCTTATACGCCGGTAAATACATTGTCACTCGGTGCAAGAGCGACGGGGGCGGAGCTCCGCAACTTGCGAAGCCCCTTCAAGCCCAGCCGGAGTCTCTCTTCCTCCTCCTCCCACCCACCCACCCACCCTCCGCCCGGCTCGGGGCGCTTGCGGAGGCCAATCTGGAGGTGGGGTGGGGGTGGAGCGGGAGGGTCTCTGGCGGGGCCGCTTCGCCCAGCCAGCCCCGAGCCGCGTAATGGCCCAGGGAGTGGGGGGGGAGAAGGTGGTGGGGGTGGACTGTGGCGCCCCTCCTTCTGGGCAGCGGGGCGGGGGGCGGCAATTTGCTCCTCCCGCTTCTCCCTCCCTCTTTGAAAGACCGGGAGGGCTGTGCTTGGGGCGGGGGGGAATGTCCTCAGGAAGTTCCTGATGGGACCCCGCTGGGCAGGGCCACCCAGCTCCCGAGCTGCTTTCCAGGGTCCCCTTGGGAAGAAAAGGGTCCGGTGGGCGGTGGAAGAAGGCGAGCGCCCTCCTCCCGCCCCCTGTCCCGTCCCGTCCCTCCTCTTGTCCCCTCCTCCCCTCCCCGCTTAAGAGAGAAAGATCTGCCTCCCCTGCACCGAGCTTCCACCCGGCGCCGCGTCTCCCGGCCAGCGCGCGCTTGCGACTTGGGAACCGGCCAAGCGACTTTAAAACCGAGCGGAGGCCAGAGATAGCCGGAATTACCCTCCACACCACACACACACACACACACACACAGAGAGAGAGAGAGAGTTGGCAGCTGTCCATCCCCCACCCTTGGAGTCCCGATGGCACGCACGCGGGGGCTGTCACAAAGAAAGGGAGAGGAATTGAGTGCCAGCCTGAGAAAGGCGAAGCTGCCTCTCTAAAGCATTTTGGTGGCTTTGTAAGTTTGGGGGAAAGGGGTTGGGGGTGTCAATCAAGAATTATATCCAGAATACCCCAAGTGTTACAACTTACCGTATTTGCCGGCGTATGAGACGACTTTTTTGCCTTGAAAAGCATGCCTCCAAGTGGGGGGGGTCGTCTTATACGGCGAGTATATAACAAAAACTATATTTTGAGTGGAAATGTTGGGGGCTCGTCTTATACGCCCAGTCGTCTTATACGCCGGCAAATACGGTAGTCTACATAAAACGGGGGGAACATCACAAATGCCAATAGAAATCTTCTATTTTATAGAAGTACAACATTTTGAAGTCCAATGTGTTTTGGAAAATTCTTTTATCAAAAACAGTGTGCTTACCAGCTAAAACATAGGCAAAAGAATTTTCTAAAACACTCTGAGCTTCAATATAATAAAATATTTTATATTAGGTTTGAGTTATTCTCACTATTCTCTAATCCTTCCCCCCCACACACTTTTTTCCCCTTTAATTTTTGTCTGTCCTTCAAAATGAAAGTTAGGAAAAGGTTATGTTGTTTTAATGAAGGATTTGGGGGAGAAAGAGAAAAAAAATTAGAATACATTTGTAAAACAACCTGACTAATATCTGTAAGTGAGATCTGGGATATAACCAGGGGTGGGATTCTACCAGTTCGCACCTATTCGCTAGAACCGGTTGTTAACATTCTAAGCAGTTCGGAGAACCGGTTGTTAGAAGAAATTACTGACCTAATCCTGTAAGGAAGGCAGGAAGGAAACATTCTGGTGTTGCTTACAGAAACTGCCTATCCGTTAACCCTTATTACATTCTTGGCAGAACTAGACTTCCTGTCTCTGGAACTTCTCTGGAGGTTTTATTTTCCTCCTTTTCTGGTACTTTGCTTGTGTGGAGTGACCATTCAAAATTACAATGGCACTGTAAAAAGTGACTTATGACCATTTTTCACACTTACGACTGTTGCAGCATCCCCACAGTCATGAGAGGCCAAGCGAGGAGGAGATACGTGCCTCAATGTGAGTGATGTTGAGTTGGCCACGCCCAGCCAGTCACATGACCATCAAGCCATGCCCACCAACTAAGCCACGCCCACAGAACTGGTTGTTAAAAAAAAATTGAATCCCACCCCTGGATATAACCTATACAATATTAAATTATAATATAAGCACTAATATTACATTAGATAAGATAACATCTAAAATTTTAAAGAAAAAGTTCTAAAAGTATTAATATCAACAAAATAATATCTAAAATGTAAATGAATGATAGTTACAAAGAATGCATTGTGGAACACTAGCCCATCAGAGCTTGACAGATCTTCTGTGCTGCACAAAACTTCACATCTATGGCAAAAGGGATCAATTATGTATAAATGAGAGGTAAAATGCAGTTTTATTCAGATATTAATACGTTACAACACTACTCATCTTTATTGTATTAAAATTACTAATATTGAAAAACTTTGTAAATTGAAGAAAAATCCCATGTAAATCACTGTAAATTTTTAAAATTAACAGATGTGCATAATTTCCCTACATTATTCCCAGAGTTGCAATAAAAAAGAGGAAGCACATCATTATAAATGTTAGAATAATTAAGACTAAACCCCACCAATGTTACAGATGAATATTTATAAATTGTTTATAACATGAGGCTTTTTACTGGATGTTCTGCCACTCTGATTTTAGAAATGAAAGTAGAGGAAGTCCATTTCCAAAGAAAGGAATTCCTTGTTGCCATCATTTCCTGGATTCTCTTCTATCATTTTTCTTCTTTCAATTAGTTAAGTTTTCTAGAGTCATTCACAGGGATGATACTGGAAATGCCATATTTGTTTGGTAGAGAACATTTTAAGTAAATAAATTTTAGAGTGTGCTACTTTTTAGTGCTGCTGAAACATTCCTTAAATTTATCTTGTTGTCTTTAGGATCATCTATAACAAACGGGCTATCCTTATGGGTAATTAACTTTGGTCAGTGTTTAGTCAGTTTTTATCTCAAAGGCAGTTGGGCTGAATTTAAGCAATGTCAGTCCAATTTCAAGGAAATGTTGAAAAGAAACATTTTGTCTCTGTTCTGCATTCTCAATATATTTAGTACATTATTCTCATTTAACAGGTGGGGGGGGAAGTTACCTTTCCAGGCAAGTAAATATAGTAGTAGTAACTTATCAAACCGCAAGGTGGCAACCTTAGTTTACTTTACAGGTAATGTTGGTAATAACAAGAACTGTAATTGTTTGATAAAAGTAGTACATTGGCAAGATCTCATACCATCTGTATTCACCAAATGAACATATGAAGCATTTTCTTTATTTCTAAATTAGTGAAATTTCTCAGAACTTATGAGCCAATATTGACATTTCAAAAAGTAGAACTGCTTTTAATTTAATTGTGTGTGTTACATGCTGTTAAGATTGTGTAGCAAAATGAACAGTAAACTTGGTAAGCTAATTGTTCCCTTTCTCAAAATCGTGGAAAAACAGATACCTCCCACATCTTACTTTTAAAAAATTTCAATACTTTCTTTCCTGTTGTTCTCAAATGTTGCCAAGTCCTTTATTTAAAAAAGTACCCTCAATTGGAAGCACCAGATAGAAACACATTTTACTATTTCAGAAATTGAGAGAACTATGTTGTATCTGTGATACAACTTAAGAGGAAGTCAGCTTGCAAACTAAATTTAGCATCCAAAACCTGGCTGAATATTTAAATTTCAAATGTAGACTTGTAAGAATTAAATGTGTAAACCCTTATATGTTGTGTTTTGTGCTCTTGATATTTGCATTGTTAAACTTTTCCCCTTCATTTATGAAGAAATTGAAGGATTCTAATTTTTTAATTAAAAAACAAACAAACATTAAATTGTCATTTTTATATCTGCTGGTTTAAAGCAAAGCTGCTTTTTCCAGTTTTTTCTGTCTTTTTTTCCTTTTAAAAAGGAAACAGTTATGTATTAGTCTACTAACCAAGAAGACAGCAGCTAATTATGTGATTGGATTCCCAGTTAATGAAACTAATCTTAAAGAAGAGTGCATTTGATTTTTTTTCTGAAAGTTTTTGTTCAATCATTTTATGAATGGCTCTCAGTAACCACACCATAACAGATTATCCCTTAACAGTTCAGGAATATATAACTCTGTTTAGTCATTATGGAAAAAAATCCTTCAAAGATTTTCAGTTTTTCAGTTTCAGTAGTGTGATGTGCTAGTACAGATACAGTTAGGAGGAGAGCTTACATAATTTGGGAATCCAATTTCCAGGGACAACTGGATGGTATCAAGATGATCATCCTGACTTCCATCATAGAATAGATTAATTTAAATAGTTTTAAAAACTCATATTGCAGATTCCTTGATTTACCTTGCAATCCCCATGGGATTTTAGAAGAGTTTCATCAACAGATATGGCAGCCTCATGTCATAATTGTGTACATCACCCTGTCAGATACATAGTATAATGTATTCCTTGATCCCATTATCTATCACAGCATTCCCCATCCTTGGTGGCTTGGAGGCCTGACTGGAGAGGAAAGAGGAAATAGGCCGCGGCTCGACTCATGCAAGAGAGAAGGGAAGCCTTTGGGGCGCGGTTTTGCGCTCTTTCAGGCTTCTCTGCATCAAAAGCTTTTGCAAAGGGATAGAAAGCTTGAAGCAGCACAAGATTGCTCCCTCAAAGACTTTCGTCTGTTTGCAAAAGCTTTTGGCATGGAACAGAGAAGGCTTTGGGGGGAGCGGTTTCAAGATCCTTCAGACTCAC